TACCAGTTTTATTCATATACAGTATTCTGCTGATGTCCTGTGTTCCAGCGGTTTGGAGTTTTTGCCTAGCCTTATGGTCTCGTTCCGCACAGAGGGAGAAATTGCAATGTGATAATGCGGACCGGCGAGGAACAGCCGTGGTTATAATCGGTGTGTTTTAATTTTAGTCAATGTTCACAACTTTGCATAATTACGTGAGAGTTAAACCGAGGCCTAATTGATATTAGCTTGAATAGCATGAGACTCCTTGCACCAATGTAAAACGACTCCAGAATTTGAAGAAAACAAGTGTAGATGCAGGTGGTATCCGTAGACAGGAGAATATCATCTCAGTCGTGTACAGCGATAAGAACATTTAATTTGCTCGTATCTATAATACTAACAAATGTTCGACTACCCTCATTGCTTTTCCGACCACCAGCTAAACTCTCTAAACGGCAGCCTCGAAAATAGTCATCTGATAGTTTCTGGATTATAACAAAGGATTTAATAACAACATCCGGAGACCTAACGTTAACGTTAACGTTAATAATAATAATAATAATAATAATAATAATAATAATAATAATAATAATAATAATATCCATCAGTTAATCAATCAATCAATCAGTGTTTATATGAGTGGCTAGGAAGAACCTCGGAAGTATCACAACAAACAGGGTTAAGGCCATGACGGTCTTTGTTTGCTGGTGTAGTCTCTTCGGGCCGGGATCGGCAACGTTCAAGGGGCGAAAATGGTCGGTCTCAAATGACAGAATTCGGCCAATATCGAAAACTCACCGGGGTTCCGGCATCGGGCTGCCAGTACCACGTCCTGGCGCGCCAACGCCGGTATCTGTTGATTTCCCGGTGACCGCGGAAAGTTCACAGGTGTATCACCGATGAGTTCCCGGCGCCGGCCGAATTCTGGCATTTGAGACCGGCCATTTTCGCCCCGTGGGGCGTTAGGCTGGCATGCCGAGATCGGTGTCCCGAAAAGTTCCTGCCACAGGCCGCTCTGGCCTGTGCTACGTGAACGCGTACCTATAGCTGGAAAAACAGCTCTGACACCTTTATTTGTCACCCTGTGAAATAGAGAAAGAGACATACTAAATTGTTACCGTGAGGTAATTTATTGTCAATCGCTGGGTAGCTACTCTTCGGTACATCACCAGGTGGGAGCAGAGCAGGCTGGATGAAAGCGGCTTTGTGTCTCCAAGAAGGGGAGTTTTCACCAGTCTCTTCGCCCATCTGACCCAGACCGGCAGCAGCTTCGCTTTTTCTCAACCACGTCGATGATGCACTTCAGAAGGCGAATATTAGCAGTGTTGTACGGAACGCGTTCCTTTTAGAAGGAACGAAGGAACGCCGCCGTTTCATTTTGCATCGGTGGAACTGGAACGGGAACTCGTTACATTTTTACTAGAACGGAAAAAAAGGAACGGAGTTCCTTTTCTTCGTCGAGTGGGAAAATTTTCTTTATTTTTAAGAGGGAAATTTTAAAAGTACAAAAATTTATTTTTACAAAGACCAGGATCTCGCTAACTTTTTGGTTACTAATCTTAGGATTTATTTTGTGTGGTCTTTGCTTGGTATAAGTCGGGTGCAGGAGAACTAGTGGACATTGGTTCTTTTTTCAGTGCCCGAGGCTGCGGTACAAGTAAAACTTTCTGTAAACGGAAAAGACACAGAAAGAGGGATGTTTCAAACTCAGCTACTTTCTTTGCTTCCACGAATCCTCATACATTCAAAAATTTAAGGCCGATAACAGTCATCACTGAAAGTCCAGAAAGAGACCTACAGTTACAGAAAAAGAACAGGTTACCAGCCATGGAACACACCCTTGTATCCCGAATATTGGCTACTTAAGAGATACACAAAAATTAACCTTTATTCCTTGTTCCCTGAACAACAAATCCAACTTTCACGAAGAAGGACTTGTAGGTTTCAAGACCGACCTTCCAAAAGCCCTACCCTCTTCTTCACTTGCTCGTCTTGTGGACAGCAACATCGAGAAGCAACTGTTGTTAAGTTCGGGCAAGGGACTTTGTTAGAGTGAAAGGTGTGGGGTTGTCAAACTCTCGTGCAATATGGGCTAACAGTACATTTGGCTCGTCTGAATTGCCAACAAGAAACATAAATATAGTTAAAAGCTGTGATTTCCAAAGGTGAATATATCAACAACTTGAACTCTGCTTCCGCTTGTTTTCTTCTCCTGGTAACCTTCCATCACGGAATTCAAATTCGTATGTTGCCATATGATGGAATAGATAAAAAAAGAAGAAAAATTTTCTCTATCGAACTAAATATGGCAATCAGGAAAATACAAAATACATCTAACGATCGTACGTCTGCACTGTGTGTTGGTTGTGAGCTGGCTTGGCGAAAAAAAAAACTAAATGAATGACGACGCGAGCCATCGACGTCGGTTGCAGCAACTTCGTGTCGCAACTCCAGCAGGCCTTGTTTACGGCGTACGGGTCGTCGAAGGCAACGCCGTCCACGCAGAATTCGTCTTGATACCGCTGTCGTTCAGGCTCGGGTTGCGAGCTGAAATAGTCGGGTATAAGCCGCATAACGTGCAGCATACTTTGGCAGGAAATACGACGCGCAAATAAAACTAGAAGTGTATCTACAACGTCAACAACTAGCGCACGCCACACAACACAATGGCGAAAATACGGAGAGCCTGACCGCTTTTGCCCACATAGCTTCTGTGCATGCGCGGCCTTCCGGCCGTGTTGGTAAATAGATCCGCGCCGCGTGTCGGTCTATTTATACATCACTATTTCGTGCGAATCTATACTTTGACTCGCCTTCTCGATTTTGATTGACTCGCCTTCCCGTTTATTTACTGAATTGATTAGATGCGCACTCTGTTTAAAAACAACATCGTAGGCAATTTTTCGACACCTTTTGCGCTTCGAAAATATGAAGCTTCAAATTTCGTTCAACTTGTTCCTTCCCAAAGGTCTGTGTTTTATGGCGAGAGGTGTATGTATGTTTATACAGCCTGAACTTAGTCTACCTCAACGGGCGACTTGTCTCTCATCTGTAGATGAGGAATATAGCCAACGCGGTACAACCGCTAGCCTGGGGTCTTTAACGAGCACCACACAGCAGTGATACACGACCGCACACTGGTATACAGTGCTTATCCAGATCGAAAGGGGCTGGGGTATGGATTGAACCTAGGATGTCTAGGTTGTGCATCGCGGGTATTCGCTCCACGTGATGCGAGCTGGTGTGCGCTAGCCCACTCGGCCAACGATCCCCACTCCTTGCGACGAGAGGCGGGGAGCACAATTAAAATTGTTGTGTGTATGTTTATACAGCCGGAAGTTAGTCTGCCTCAGTTTGCGTCTGGCATCTCAGCTGTAGATGAGGAATTTAGCCAGTGCGGTACAACCGCTAGCTTGGGATCTTTAACGTGCACCAGGCAGTACTGATACCCGACCGCACGCCGGTACGATGCTCATCCAGATCGAAACGGGCAGGGGTGAGGAATGAGCCCAGGATACCTGGGCTCTGCAGCGCGAACTTTTGCTAAACGTGCTCCGAGCTGATGTGCGCTAGCCCAGTCGGCCACCAATCCCCCCGCACATTTCGGGCTGCTCCGAAGTTCTTTAGACCGACGATAATGATGATGGTGATAATGATAATTCGCGACTATTTTTTTTTCTATGTTTGGTTTGGTTGCGAGCGCCACCAAGCGCCTCGCAGTGACAGTCCTACCAGGGGAATGCAATGGCCTGAGGATCACAGTCAGCGCGAGAATAATCTCGGGGGCCATGCGTGCGGCCGCGCACTTTCCGGAGAGGCCTTTGTGCAAGAAATGCAGAATCCAGAGATCCTAGGTTCAAACGCCACCCCCTGCCCGCTTCTATCTGGATGAGCATCGTACCGGCGTGCTTCAGTGTATCACTATTGCGTGATTCACGTTACAGACCCCAAGCTAGCAGTTGTACAGCACTCGCTATATTTCTCATCTACAGTAGGTCACAATGTCGCCATGTTTCTGGCGGACTAACCTGCCGCTGTATAAAAAAACTAACGACCAATTACTATTACAAGAACACCTAAGGCTTCTGAAGGTCAGGAGGTGTGAATAATTTATCTCCGAAGTGCTTATTTGCTTGTGTTTGCTGCAATTTCTCCAGATTATTACTTTTTGTTTAGCTTCGTAACTGGCAAATTTTGGCACGCCGGTTGCTTGCAGTGCCGCCACGCTCTTTCATTCCGCAGCAGTCGCCGACGGCTAGTGGAAGGAAGACTAGCCAATTTCCGTAAGGACCATACTATAAAGGACCAGTTGTGAGAAGCGTGTGTGCTATCCCTTTCGCGTTCTTGTCTTCTTTCGCTATTGCACAGATGTTGTAAGGTTCTTCGTTTTCGGGTTTTAATTTTTCGAAAATCGGGGGGTAAAAATCGGGCGCTATTTTTCAGGTTGATAATCGGGGAGAAATCGGGTCTTTCTGAAGGCATTGGAAAATCGGGTTTTCTCGGGTCTTAGTTATAAAGGGCAAATACCTTTAATGTGTTATTTGCACGAAAGTCAACAAAGTATATGATATAGAAGTGGTGCTCTATCTAACAGTATAATGCCGCCTTCTGACTCAATTTGAAGCGAATATATGCAGAGGTAACGCAAATCGAAGAAATTTGTTACCATCAAAAGGGTGACCGAGGAAGCAGTTCTGAAACGGATCAAGAATTGTTCTTATTTTCCATAAACTCATCTGATTTCAAGACCGGTATTCGCGGAGAAATCGGATTTAAACCGATTTTCATAAAAACTGTTCGGGATGCGAAAATCGGGTTATATCGGGTTTTACCCGAAAACGAAGAACCCTACACATATGATGTTTAAACAACTAGCCCAGCTATTGATTTTAATTTTGTTTATAGGGTCCCAGCGGAATCCTATAGCAGCCCGATTTTCGCTTTCATTCGATTTGTCTTGTTTTCACTCGTTTTTCAGCTGGAACTCTATTGGACAAAACTGACGAGGCCAGAAGTGGTCAAATTTTGAAGTGCGACTTTAAGTCGACACGCGTGTTCTTTTACTTCCACAGCAAATTTACGATATGAATAGTTAGTGGTCGTACCAGTTCATATCTTAGTTTCTCGGCTGTTTTTGGTACCTTCTCACGAGTTCACATTGCCCGAGTGGGTTGTTTTCTTTACTCGGTCATTTCTTGTAGCCGTACTGACTTAGCTGCGTGAAAAACTCCTGCTTGCTTTGAAGTTCTTTTTCAAACCCGTCGTAGTCGTAGCTGCTCATCGAACCCCCGTAGTTTTCAGGAAGCTGTTTTGCAGGAATGAGCTTATGAAGCTCCTCGTACCGACGTCCGATGAAGCGCACCTGCGAAAAAGTAAACGTGTAGTTTCTCACTGCTGAAAATTAAAGACGCCCTCTAATGTGTCCTACCTGCCGTTGTGGGAGGCCCAGCCACAAGTACGTGACTTTGGCGAGTGACCTTCCAGCGGGGAAGCATAATATAATCAAATAATGTTTCACTCTACACCCCCGGACAATATCAGCTGAAACAACTGATCTGGACGTTTGTTGGGCCTACCGTTGCCACAAGCTTCTTTATATCTCAAATTGTCAGAGAGGTCAAAGATTAAGGCTTCATGGTCCATGTCAAGTCTGAACTGGCAGAAAAGCCGAAGCATCATAGAATGTTGTTTTTGGCTCACGTTATTCGCAGTAGTACAAACGTTGTGAGATCGGGTAGATCTCGACCTTTTCCAAATACCTCTAACAAATAGACCGTTCTCAAAAGTCCATCATGCAACATTGGCAGACGCCATCGCTTGCTCACAAAGCGCGTGATTGGATCCGAGTCCTCGCCGAAGGCTGACGTAGGCTTCGTATCCAATACCTGTTCAGAGTATCCAGCAAGCAATGGAGGACAGGCGCTGGAGCGTGACTTTTGAAAAGGGCTAATTGCACATGGATCATGAATGGCGGAGTGGCAAAACAAAATATTCAATCTTGAACAAACGAACTACTGCGATTTGACCATGGGTTATTGGCGATTTCAAAAGACCTTCTAAAATGGTTCTCTATCAAATTATGGTGGCCGAAAATGGTGCATTTTATTCTCAGAAATTTGGAGAATTTAGCTGAGCCGAGTAAAAGGTATAAAGAGCGTGAAATGGCTACCTACGACGGCCGTCTGCAGATGGAAGCCGTCTAGGTAGCTAAACAGTTGAGAGGTGGCGGCTGGTGTTGACATATAGCCAAAATACTTCGAGAAATCTTTCGTTTTTTTTTTTTTGCTTGTGTGTGTACGGTGGCTTTTATATGTACAGTAACAAAATCATTCACATCGTCTGCTATCAAAGATCAGTGCCTGCTCCCGCGCTCTTATTCGCCTGCATCTCTCGGCCCTTTCGTCAATCCCACAATGTTTGTTAGCAGACGAACACCACAAGTGGCGAAACCAGTATCTTTCTTTTAACATTTACACAAGTAAGTTCATCTTTTTAAAAAAAAAAATTGGTGCACATAATGCAACAATATTTTAGAAACACGTGGTCTTCGGACACCTTTTTACAAAACTTAGTAGGATGTGTTAAGGAACCGATTTATGCGGTTCCGTCAAATAATCAACGGTTCAATTGACTCGTGTGGGTAATGTGGGATTCAATTGACTCATGTCAGCCTGCAGCAAATTAGGGAGATCTCACACACGCCCATAACCACTAGTCATCTTGTCATTCTGGCTCCCAACGAAATTACTCGAAGGCAGCTCCGCGTTTCGAATTTCCAGTCTTAATTTTTGTTGTTTGAATGTTCAATCGGTGTTGTGGTAAACTAATCAGCGTCTAACAGATCAGCTTTGGATATGAGCGACATGGGCAGACAACATGTTCAATATTTCAGAAAGCTGTACACGTGTAAGTTCTGCTTTTTGAGCGTGTCGTGCGTTTTTTACTTTCCAGATGCGTCCACTTGCTTTGGTTTCCTCTCGACCCAACAGCAATTTGATAATTACAGTAAAGTGTTAATTCGCTCACTGCGAGGAAGTTAGAGCGTAAACATTACACATTCTTGTTGGGCTGCTAGAAGTTGTGTTTTAGCTAACAAAGTGAAAACAAGCGCTGCCAAAATCAGCGCAGAAGCTGAGTGGCACTTAAGTAGCGTCTCGGGGTGCTTGCACGCCCATTCTTTCGCAGCGCTTGTTTTCAGTATTTGCTTAAATGATGCTGGCGATAAGTTGAGTGACCCAGACGTCTTGCGGCTCCAGGGCTGCGTCGCGTTTAATAAGGTGCCTTGACCCTGTCTTCCAATGGTGTTTTTACCATCTTGACCCTACAATGTAACGAAAGTGATTCCGAATTGGCAACAAACTGCGTCACGGGGGCCGAAGTGTCATGATGCCGGATTTCGCGATCCTGGCGGTTGGTCGTAGAAACAGTGGCAAAAGGGCGAATTTATGCAAAGGTCGCTGTCGTCGCGAGGTCTCAACCCTCGTTTTGTTATGGTTTGTGTTGACTGTTTGAATGCAGGCCGAATTATAGCGGAATAAGAATCTTGCACGTTCACTTCTGCCGCTGTGCGACGGCCAGGATTGTGGCAGGCCATAGCGTTGATACTTTCATGAGGTCGCCAGGCGGAAATCGAGAAGTCACTTCAGAGGGCACGGTAAACACGAGACGCGCTCGGATCCTGACACAACACTTCCACTGTACAGAGTCTTCTATTGCAACAGCACTTTGCATCCATCATCAACCATTGGAAGCAATGCGGGCCGCGTAAACAAACTTACCCTTTTCACGAGTTTTCTGTTCATGAATATTTTTGCAATGTTGTAGAAAACTTCAAATATGGGCGGATGATTGATGATGTAGATTCCCCGGATCCGCACCGGGTAGCAGTCCTGGAATGATGGCAACAGCAGTGAGCGTACACCGTTTCTGTCCGCCATCTGTTTTATTATTTTTATTTTTTTTTATAACTTTTGTGCGTGTTTTCTACACCTACTAATAATTGGCACGGACAATAGAATAGTTGTTCAGCTTCTTTCTCTTCAGCTTTAATCCTCAACTCAGAAGCGACATTAGAAACCATGTGGGCATGACGTAGTTGAGCAACGAATGTGTTGAGTCCGAGCTTCCACTGTGCTGTTTAAGCACACCGTGGATAAGCCCGGCCAGATAGATGTAGTCGACCATTGCGTCTATCCTCAACAATGAGGGACGTGGCGGCACCTGTTTTCACTTTCGAATGGCAAGTGATGATAAGTGATGAATCGGAAGTGGTTATAAGTACCTTCACGGCGCTCATTGTCCAGGATAGACTCTCTGGTCGACTACATCTATTTGGCCGGGCTTATTCAACGCATTTAGTTCCCTCCGCCAACCCTTTTCTCTCCCGTAATCGCTGACAAATGCCAATGATTGCGCACCGTCTTCTCTCTCTTTTTATTTTATAAATCACAAATTGATCGGCAAAAACAACCAAATTAATATTGCTACATTGCTTAAACCCTCTGATAGCTGCCCATAAAAAAGAAATATTGATAGCCTGCAGTCATTGTAACTGCCCCTGCACTTAATGATAAAAGTAATATTGATAATTTAATGATGTGAGTAATTCTTTAACATTGGCATTACTCCTTTTGGCATTACTCCTTTTATGTTGTAAGCATAAGACTTTTGTGGCAGTCCTACTTCGTGTATGCGAAACTGAATATCAATAGAAGTTGAAACTCCTTTTTTTGTGTTTTCAAGTCTGACGGTCAAAATAAGAATGGTAGTGACTTAAAATGAGGCACCTGATCAAAAGAAAATTGTTTCTTTGTTTTTACTTCTAGAGGTATTCAATTCCTCAAGCTAGAATTCCTTAAACCCACATATATTGCGTCATCACGCTTTTCTGGAAATCTCTACAGCGCCAAACACCCACACGACAGAACGGCCGACCTGCCACACGAATCTGTACACGTTTAAATAATAATTGGCATCCGATATCCCCAAGTTCATAAATGCGCACCTCCAATCTAACTTTCTTTACGCGTCTCTTCTATTTGTTGTGCATGTACCTCGATCGCCGTTAGCTCAGTACGATTTTCGTGTTTTGTTCTGACCCAATTTGCCGTGGACGCGAGATCATCGCGTAGCCAACTGCTCCCTTTGAAAAAGAACCGGCACAGCCGGGCCGCGTTCCACAGAAAGTGTGCGCATTGAGAAAAAAGTGAACGGCCCCCATGGATGTCGATTTCAGTAGAAATACAAATACCACACTGTAACGAAGCGCCACCATACACGACTTATTGCTTTCATGCACGGGTCTGGAAGGCGATCCCATCGCCATCTGTTGGTTCTGAATCACACTAAACAAAGGTCGGGTTGCACCTTAAGCCATAGTCGCACCGATTGCACACTATACAAGACCACACTGTGTTCGCCGCAGACATGATGGCAGAATTATCGGTGAAGACACCTGAAGCGTATTCCGAGCGTGTTTGCTACATACATGTGCCTGCTTCGCACATGTTTGCTGTCAGTTTTTGCTCGGCCAATGTGAGAGGACCGTCTCACAAAGCAAGGAAAAAGTATGCCTGACACACTGTTTTCAGACCGTCTTTTGTATGATCAAGTACAAGCAGTGGGACCACGTCTTAAGTCGATGTGAAAAATCCTTCCGTCTAAGTGTAGCCCGCTCATGGTAGGTCCTATATGAATGAAGAAACGACAGTTGCCTACCTGGACGAGCTTGATGAACTTCCTGATTACAAACGGCGTATAGGAACGGAAGTGAGCGAGCGACAATTCGTCCTCGTCTACCACAACCACCACGCCGGCGATTTGAAATCTCTCTTCCAACAGAAAATATTCGACGGTCACGATGGATGCCCTGAAGAACTCGTCCAGAGTGCATATGCTGGGATTCCAAGCTCCTGAAAACATGGTCGAAACAGGCAGTTGGATGCCTGTGAAGGGCTGGTTTACACTCTTAAGACTGAATCTAATTGTGCTCCCTTGTGATTGCTCATGACGATAGAACACACTAAAACAAAAACAAAAACAAACAAAAAACACTGGCACGCTGGCGCCCTTAATGGTAGCCTAGAGCTACGCATAACTATGTGGACTCGAGGATTTCGCAGCGTTTACGGAATCAGATATACTTATCGTTTATGAAAAATGATCGCTCATGACATATAGTCATATTTTTTTCAAAACCATAGTGAAAGAAGCATGAGCATAAAAGTTCTAAATACATGTGAAAGGGGAAGTCTTTCAGGGCATCCCGAAAGATGGCGGGAGTGTGTTTTGTCGTCGTAAGCAATCACGCCAGGCATCACAATGCGCTCGGACACACCCACACGCGAGTGTGTCATCCAAGCTTTATGGCTGGTCCGATGCCATGCTGCTGCAGTGGATTGCATTCAGCGTGTTTCAGCCCAAGCTTTCTCATTTTAACGCGCATAATAAGTAATAAAATGAGAGTTACTACGCAGGCAAGTTGGTAAACGATCACAGTGGAAAAAAACAAAAAAAACCTCTAGACAAGGAACGAGAAAAGGGGGAAAAACACAACACCGTCTCTAAACACAGCTGCAAATTTTATTTCGACATAATCATATTTATAGAGGGCTAGCCCACCCACACCGCCGACACCAACAACCGTCAAACCCACAGTCAAGTGGACCAGGCCCAAGCTCCGAAGAGGCCTAACATTACATCGGCGAACACAGTGACATTGAATGCTAGATACAAACAAATAACCGTCTCTCCGGGTGCATCACAAGCAAGGACATACTTATTAGAGACGGTGTTGTGTTTGTCACCTTTTTTTTTTCGTTCTTTGGGTCGAGTTTTTTTTTGTTTTCTTTCACTACGATAACAAATAACACAGTTTTCTTACCGAACTTAAAGATGATTATCCTTCTTCCATGTGGGTCGCACTCTTTGAGAATGGTGACAAGCTTGTTTTTGCGAAGCACTTCATCGAACTTGATGCGAGAGGGTAGAAGGTCCTCAAACATTTCCTTGTACTCAGTCCTGGCTTGATAGTAGTTTCGAATAATCTTGAATGTATCCTGCACGCGATATTTGCGGGACCTCAAAAATTTTACCAGAAACTCTTCGTCCGTTTGGCAGTTCAAGTCCGGCTCCTCTGTGATTGCCATATGAAAGAAAGCACATGTTTTATAAGTGTTCGTTTATCTCATGAGTACAGTCGAACCAGTGAAGACGTTATTATTTATTACCGGACCTACTTAATAGGAGAACGTTCTCCCCTCGTTATTATAAGCTTCCACCATCGATCTGGGTTCTCTGCTGCAGCTGCGGCCCCTGAAGGCTTCGTTATTTCTGGTTTTGAGAAATAGTTAAAGAAATGAAATCTAAACTCTGAGTTCTTGCCCTAGTATGAACGAATTTTTGAGAAAACGGCTAGGTACACCAAGGCGGCACGGGGGCTGTTGTAGCTCATACTGTTCGGGAAGTACCTCAAGTAGAAGTGTTAAATAACGTTATCAAAACTATGTTGTAAGGAAGTTTACATGCCCGTAGTTTCCCGAATCCCCAGTGGGAAGCAAAAAGTTTTCCGAAAGTCGCAGGAAGGAAGGAGTGCGTATCAGCGTCTTTCCTGTTTAAAATTGGCCACCATAAAAATATTGCTTCATCCGAAACCCAGACGTACCGCGGCGCGTTCCGCTTTCTTGGATTCTCAAGTTGCAGCTTACTGTAGCCTCAGCGTGCGCATTACGCTCGTTGCCCACCAAGTAGTGAAAACCACCGTTATACCGTTTAACAAGCCGTAGCAGCTTCATTCAGTAGGTGATTTTTATAATTATACAGTGCGGACGTACCTGCAAGAAGTGTTCGCAGCCGTGCAACAGCCTCTTTCTTGACCTGTTGTGTTTCACCAAGTTCTCGTTCCGCTATAAGTTGCAAGTCGGGAGAAAGTTCCGCCATGCTTCAGACCTCTAACTTTCTTTCCCTCGTTGTTCTGCAAATATAAAATACGTGAAATAGGGTACAAAATATGGTAGCACTCCCTTAAATTCAGCTCTCCACTCCTCCCTTAAGAATTCCGGTTGTCACATCTAAGCGGATGCGTATGCTCGTGATAGAAAAAGAAGCGTGCCGTCATCCACCCTTTATCGCACGGGTCGCGGATGAGTAAAGTACATTTTCCGTTCATATTTTTTGATCGCGCGCATGTGCAGGTCGTTTGACGAGACGCTAACTCGATGTGCCGCAGTCTTCGCAATGCGCCTATACTTTGTTTCAGCTTCGGTCCGAGCGTGGCCGATGTTATGAGCCGAAGGGCCAATCAAACAGCGAAAGAGGCACAACGTCATGGCGTGCTCTCTGCAGTTGATAGGACCAGCCGGTATTCGCCGTCTCTCTGTGCGCGCTCCACCGTCGGCTAGTCTTATCAAGAGCAGGGAGCACGCCATGACGCTGGGCTTGTTGCGCTTTTTTATTGGTCCTTCGGCTCATAACATCGGCCGCGCTCGGGCCGGAGCTGAAACGAAGTATAGCAAGGGGAAGGAGCTCAATACGACTGTTGCAAGCAAAAACACTCTAAAAAAAGTTTGTGTGTCTACTTTCACGCACACCACTCGGAGAGCCAATCACCGCAACTTACGGAGGCAGCTCAGCGAATGACGATGCGGAAACATATGTTTAGACCAAAAAACGCCGTTTGATTTGTGACATTAAGCAATGCAAAACGTCACCCTTGCATTGCTTAATGTCCCAACTCAGACTGCGTGTTTTGGTCTAAACATGAACTCATTCTGCGAAAGTGTACAGCTACTGACTGGGGGTGCGTCGGCTCTTTTTTTAACACACCGAACGTTTTCTTCTTTCTTGAGGTGCGTTTATCTTTATTTTCCGTCGTAATCACGATCCACTGCGTCATCCGACTACAAAACTACGCAGCGCTCGGACGTGACGCTATCGAATCATGTTGTTGGTCATTCCTACTTATTCTAATGAAGGGAAACCTAATGAATGGTATGCTATATGTAGAGAATTCCGTGTTTTCGGAGTTTTTTTTTCGTCAAATTCGGCGAGTGTTTCTCGGAGTTTATTTACCCCCGAAAATTCGAAGTTTATAGGAGTTTATTTTTGTTTATTTACCAAATCTCTGAAATTCGAAGCTTATTTTTTGTATATATATGCCAGATAAACAAATTTAAAAAAATGAAACGCGCTTATATCAATTAATATTTTATCAGCTGGATTTGGTGTTGGTGCTATTGCCATTGGCAGTACTAATTTGTCCCACGGCAAAAGTCGCACACATCTGTGACTTCGATAAACATCGATACTTTAAAAATAAACTCCTCGAGGTAGTCGCTGTGAAGGACGTATTCATCTCATCCTATTCTATGCGACCCCGCGGCCGCGTGAGGTGGAGTGGTAAAGGATGTAATAGAGAAGTTTCAACTGCCCCTCTTCCCAATTTTATGCAATCTCTATGGTTCACAGCTGTCACTCTTACAAAACTCAACCTCTGCTTCCTTTGAAAAAAACAGATAGCATGGCCGAAACTGGAATCCAATACAGAAGGTTTTCTCGTGACCCGAAAGTGCAATGACATGTCGTCCTCGACCTTGACGAGATAAGCGGTAAGATCCCTTTTGTCAATGTTCCGAGATTTGAAAGATAACTGTAGTGGCATTTTGCCGGGACCATTGACCCTGTGCGCTGATCAAGCTTAATTGTAAAATACCTTCTTTATTTAGGTTTTTTTTTTCTTTTTTGCGGAGAGGAGGCGGGGGCATTCGTACATCAAAATCTGCAGTTTATCGGATGAATCCGAATTGACCAATATTTTACCGTCGTTTGTTTTTCGGAGCTTTTTGGATTTATCCGAAAACACGGAACCTTAAATATGTGCTTCGCCACTGCAATGGCCGCTGCAGTAGCGTCTGATGTTCCGTCAGTACAAGCCATGTATACTGGGGCGCTGTGTGAAGATCTGCGGGGACATACTTCAAATAAAACTGGGTTTGATACACGCTTTTCCAACGTGACAGCCTTCACACCTTCCCTTCTTTCATCCTATTTCCTGTCATCAGTGCCCTCTCTACTTCCTTCTGAAGTAACTAACCGGGTTAAAGTTCCCAAATTAGTCCCTCTCCTTCCAATTCTCATCTGAATAAGCGCTTGTACTGCCGTGTAGGCTTGTGTCACTACTGCTTCGTTAAAAACCCCATTTTCGGAGTCGTACCGCATTTGTTAAATTCCTAGTCGACAGCGCTCAACGTGTCGCGAGCCTAAGGACACGCTGCCTCATTTTGTTTTGTTTTATTTATTTGGTTGTATAATTTGTGTTATAAACAAATAATGTGAACATACTGCACATATAGTCATGTGCCTATATTCTGTGATATATTACTTTCTGTCGGTGGAGATGGAACAAGTTTATAAACAGTCTAATAATACTCAAGTAAAAGCAATGTTTACGGAGCGTTTCTGCTTTCTATTGCATCCTTTTATAATCTCGTAACACTGCTCTCGAAGCTACACACTCAGCCTACCAGATGAAGTGAAGTGAGTAAACCCAAGCTTACTCGATGGCAAGTGTGATTTAGAGTGAATGACGCGACGAGTTGTCACACGATTCGGCAAAACGACATAAAGTTCACTCGCTGAAAGACAGACACATTTTTCTTGTTTGACACGGGAGCGTTGAGACGATTGATATGAAAGTATCATCGCGTACACTTTAATGCGTAAAAAACTGCTTAAAAAACAAACAAAAAAACTTACCAGTTTGAAAAATGTGCTGGTATAGACGAAAATCGACTGACTAAGACATTCCGTCAAATGCAACGAAGTTGCGATTTGACGTTTAATGTCATTACAGTTGGCGGGAAAAATGCGACTTCACGCCATGTTACACTGTGCAATCACGTAATAACGACACGTGACATTGTGACGCCATGCGGTAAGACAAACACTAGCAACGAATATCCGTCGAGAGTTCCCATTCAAAGTTATCGGTTTAAAAAAAACCTTAAGCGTGAAGTTTAAGACCCGTTCGTTTAACTCTTTGACAATTTCAGAGACGCTAGACCTTGCAGAAACACCAGGCATAGTTAAAAAATACATCCAGTGTTGAATTATCTGGGGGTATTACCTTTCTCGAAGTCTCGAAGCGCGGCACACAGGTCGATCTTGTAAATATTTCCAGCCAAGCGTAGCGCGGTGAATCACTCCACTGCGATCCTCGACGACACCTCTGCCACCAACTTATCGCGCAGTGTTCTGGTGCCACGAAAAGCCTAACCGGGAACGGTCGAAGCAACGTTATTATGTTGAAGTTAGAACGCATCTAGGAAAAGTCAGCCCTTGACTGCTCAACGGTCAGACATGTAGTCCCACCAACAGCTGCTACCGCCGACAGATTACGTTTAGTGTCGAAGGACGCCAAGTTCCATGCAAGTGAAGGTATCCTTCCCTCCCTCGGTGATAAGTAATGGACGGCTCCGATGTTTACGTGCTTGCGAGGAGGTTGTTGAGGGTAGTTGGCGGTGTCCCGTGTCGCTCGACAGACAAGCGCGTGCCAAGAATAGTAGCGATGTTGTTTTTGTTTGACGTCTAGCGTTCGGGATCCGAGTATGGCCTCCGAGATTCGTGACACGCATAGCTCCTCTCCGTCCTTTCCAAACGCTCGGCTTCCCAGCGAAAGGAGCGTATGGCTAGGGTTCGGAGTTCTTTGTTTAAACCGGTAAAAACCGATAAAAGTACGCCGAATCCATTTTCGGAAATTTAGTTTTAACCGAAAAAGGTCAGTTTTTAGGTTCGGCATTTCCGATTTTAACCGATTTTAACCGATAAAAAAAACGTCGAATCCATTTTCTAAACTTCAGTTTTAACCGAAAAAGGTTACTTTTTACCTTCCAGTCGTACCGCAGAGCCGTGACGAAAAAGTGGAACGACACTGTCTATCGAAACGTGTCCGTATGCATGGGATACACGGATGCCATCACAACGTTACAAACACTAGCAACGAATTACAAAAACGTGCGGTTCGGCTATTCGATAATTTGCCCCGGTTTCAATCAACTTCCTGTAGTTTCAATAAACATAAAATACTTACGGTAGATAACCTTTTTTTGTCTAAAGGCGGCGATTTCAATTCACACACAAATTAACATTGATCCTAAGATCGTTCACGAGACATACCTACCCAAGCAAACAAATTACAACCTGAGGCACCAGCAGTTTCCAAAACCAAAAATGAGAACTAATTATGGTACTCAAAAATTATCCCACCAGATTGCAGATATTCTAAACGAACATTATTGCGTGTATGAGACGGCCTAGAAAATCGATTTCATGTTTCATTTAAAAAAATACCTGAGGGAATATTTTAATGTTGCTTGTGTACATGCCTAGTGAGTTGTGTTATTAATCAGTGTTTTTTAAGCTGAAGAGAGTTTAGCTGGCTAAAATAATTTCTTTTTTGACTTGTGCTGCCGAGATGGCTTTTCATTTTATTTCTCTATCTCGATTTGTGCCCTGCTGTTGAGTGTTGTTACAGGGGTTGGGACCCAGTCAGGTAATTGTATACGCCTTTTGTCCCAACCCTCTTGACAATTGTGTCAAAAATAAAATAAACAAACAATAAACAACCAAACAAACGTTTTGGTTTAATGTGCGCATCATCGATCGGAACGTGACGTCCGAAATGCCCCATGACTTCGACATGTACGAGCGTGTTTTCAAACTCGTAAGGAAGACTAACTTGATGCCAGCTGCGGATCTTGTGTTGTGCCTCAAAACAACGTATTTGTGACCGTCAAACAACGTCGTTTGACGGTCACATTTGGTTGATTGGCCCATTTTGACTGAGGCAGCGCTTCATATCCTCAGCCTGCTAGTGTCCAGTGTTAGTGTTGAGAGGGCATTCTCCAAGCTCAGGGTCATATTAATAGGAAAGAAAGAGTGCGGATCAACGATAAGAACCTGAGAAAATACATGTGT